CTCAGCTTGGCAGCATTCAGAACATTATATCACATCTTCTTATCACAGATTCCTCAAAATTTAATGACAATAACTCCATGGCAAATAATTATACAGGCTTTTTTATTACGTTAAATTAAAGGGCATTAAATTTCTTAAGAGAGCTTTCTAGTGAAATAACGAAAAAAAAAATTTTTTGAAGCCTTCTTTAAGACAAGCAAAATTTAAAGTTTTTTTTATAGTTTCCTTAGGATCACTCCAGAACCAACATGATAAAAATTTTGGCCAGATCTGAAAACTAGATACTTGGAGCTACGATTTGCTTTTTTTTTTTTGCCTTACAATCATTTACCTTGGAGTTAGAGCCTGTTAACGTTCAAGCGGGCGCGCGGTCACTTGTAACGGGAGCGGGCGCGCGTAACCGAAAAGACCTATGGGATGAATAAGAGAAATAAAGCACTAATTATTCAATATTTATTTATTTATTTGTACTCAGATATATTATCATTGTCTTTAAAGTCTGATTTATCAAAAGAAGTATTAAAATTATGAAAAAGAAACAATTATTAAATTTATTAACATAACTCAAATATTCTTTGAATGAAAACAAAAATTAGGAACACAAAACCCTTATACACATCTCAGACTAGTTTATATACCTAATAATAAAAATTACAAAATAGGAATTAAAATTAATTAACTTTGGTTTAGTTTTCATCAGAATCAGTTTCTTTGTCCATATAACATTGATTGCAAATAAATGTTGTATGACTTCTGCAAATATTTTTCATACATAACTTACATTGCGTTTTTGATTGCCCCCTTTTTTTGGCTGGACATATTTTACAGGTTCCTCTGCATGTGCCAGAACTACCTGCTTCTGTATCAGCAGCACTATCCTCCATAATCAAATGCTCCCTTATGTTTCTTTTTAGTTTTCTTGGAAGGCCTAACATCGTTGCTCTTCTTTGGACATACTGTTTTGTCAATTCAGTACCTAATGCCCGTAAATATATTCGCTTTTTCCATAGAGTCACATTATTTGCTCTCAATATCACCATACTATTTATTCCTGCAATATCTAGAAGACGAAAGAAGAGTGTCAATAGCCATCTATTATTCTTCCTTGAAACCTAATACATTTTTGCTTTTTTATCGACTTCAGCAACACCCTCCTTTATTTTATAGTAAAAAGTAACGATGCTGGGTTTGTGCTTTTCATTTGTACTTTCATCAATTTCTGCAGCACAATGAAGTGATGATATAAGAACTACAGATCTTTTCTTTTTAGGCACGTAAGATATGAGTGTAGCTGCATCTGAAAATCCAAATTAACTTGAATATCCAGGTTGGTTTTTATGTATAAAGCAAGGAGGTATTTCTTTCTTGTTTTTACGCATGGTACCCCCTACAGAAATCTTATCATTCTTGGCCAAATCGTTCATCAGCGGCACACTGGTATACCAATTGTCGATGGTAAGGTTTCTTCCAGTGCCAGAAATTGGTGTAATTAGTGTCTTCATGATGTATGCTGCAGCATTAATCAACCGATATGGGCCTTCAGGCTGCTTGCCAGCATAATGTTCAATATTTAGGACGTAAAACGTAGCAGCATCTACTAGTGGATAAAGTTTGATTCCATATTTGTCGGATTTTGATTTCATGTACTGTCGGAAAGGAAATTTCCTCAAAAGCCAACCATCATCTCATCGATTACTATATTCTCTCCCACTGAATATGGCAAGACAGTTTTGTGTAAATATATCTAATACATCACTTATTGGCGCAGCTTTGTCTAATTAAAATTAAATTAAAAATTGTTTATTGCGTTTCAAAAGGTAGTAACAAACAAGTGGCAAGGGCCCCTGTACTGGGTTGTTAAACCTGTGTTACGGGGTACCCCGCTCTTCCAACAGATACATTTTAACAATTTGAAACATAGGATATTACATGGACATGAATTGATGAGATTTTTGATACTTAAGAAAGAGTGAAAGTGTGCGTGTGTGTGTGTGTGTGTGTGTGTGTGTGTGTGTGTGTGTGTGCAAGCTTTGTGTGTGTGTGTGTGTGTGTGTGTGTGTGTGTGTGTGTGTGAGTTTAGCGAATAAGCAGTTCTGTTTCTTCGTAATTAAGGCTAAGCAGAGTAGTTGTTAGCAAATTTTTTAATTTAGCACAAGTGAGGGGATACATATTAAGCCTACTATTTAATTTATTATATAGATGTTTTGATTGATAGGCGAATTGTTTTTTCTTAAATTTGGTTTTACAATATGGAATCTTGAAAACAGGTAGAATTCTACGTTTTAGTGTCTGGGGGGGCAGTGTATGGTAAAGTGCTGTGGGTTCTTATAGCACTCTTTAAGATGTACATTTGGCGGGTTGTTAAGATTTTGTAAGATTTGTGTAGTTCGTGAGTTGAGAAACGGATTGGTTTAAAGAACATCACTTTCAGTAATGCTCTCTGAGCCCTTTCAAGAGTTATTAAATAGGACTTAGCTGCTCCACCCCAAGCTGTAATGCAGTAGCTTAAGACAGATTGGGCTAGAGCTTTATACGTACATATAAGGATTTTATTATCTGCGACATGTCTGAGCCTTCTAAAAACCCACATAAGCTTTCTTACCTTGTCGATGGTACACTCAATTTGTTTGTTCCATATAAGATGCTGGTCAATAGTGATACCCAGATATTTAATAGTAGACGATCTAGCAATATCAACACATTGACAGCTTTTCACCTGGTGTTGGGAGCAGCTATGAATTTTGAGAGCAAAGTCCGAGCGTGGTAAGGTAGATTTTCGTATCGTAAAAGGAACAAATTGGGTTTTTAATACATTAAGTGTTAATAGATGTGATCTTAAGTAGAGTAGTCTAGAGTACGAAGAGTTTGTCACGTAGTAGCATCATCAAACCGCAATGAATTCACTAGAAATTATACCCTTTTCACTGACATAGTAGTAGGAGAAATAGGTATATCTGTCACATCACTTGCATATATATCTTTTAAATTGGAGTGTGATGTCTTCAAAGATCCCGCTATACACAACAATCCGAAAAGTGCTCGTATTTCCACCGCATCCATCGGTTTGCAGTCACGTATTCTGTTATACAATGGTGTTTTTTTTTTTAATAAATTCGTTGGTATATCTAACAACTTTTTCAATAATATTCTCTGAAATGAATAAACTCCAGGTTTGCGTAAATGTTGTCACCCCCACACCATTCCTATGAGTGCCCGCATCTTCCGTGAGAATATTTTGAACTTGACGCCTCACTCTGTTATTGTTAGATTTTTGCCACTTCGTTACTTTATCGCGCCCTGTAAAACAGCTACTTATTTCTGAAAGTGGCAAATCATCCTCTTCTGAGTCCGAGCAGTTTGATTCCTCAGCAGATCGAGGTTCCTCCGCAACGATGTGGTCGGAAGTTTCAGAGCCTTGGTCACTAAACTCTGATTCACTCTCTTCTTCGTCTTCTCTTAGTAATTCCTCGAGTATTGCACTTTGTGGTAACCGTCTAAGCCTCATTTTATATAAAAAAATCCAAGCTTAATTCGATAATATTGAATGATGGCTGAAGAACTACTACTAGCGTGAACGAGGGTATGTCACGTTGAGCGTCGGGCGTAACCTTTTCGACGACAGGCGCGTGTAGTCTTTTCGCCGACTACACTGGGACTAAAACAATTGCGATCTGTGGAGTGGGGCGAGCGACGGTTTATTCTTTATTTTACTCCCAATGACATAGTGACAAGCTACTAGAAATGAGAAATAATTGTGATGGGTAATAATAAAAATATGAACGAAAATGTACTAAGCACGCCCGCTTGACAGTTAATAATCACCGAAAAATTTAGAATTTTTTATATCCCTTAATTTTTGATTAGTGTATTATATAGCTTGAAGAACCGATAACTGACGAGAAAGAAAGGTATGTAAATAGCAGTTTCATAGCAGTAAGCAAAGGGTATGTTGGTCCCCTCTAAATGGTAAGAAATAGATAGAAAGTGGCTTTGGACCATAATTTGTGGCATTCCTTAGAGGAGGCTTAGGGTTGGGTTTGAAATTAAGTCGCATGATTTTGGGGATTGTCACTGGGGGGGGGGGGGTCAAGGGGGGTCTATCTGGAGCACCTCCATGCAATTTTAGCTGCCAGAGCAGCGTCGAAGTATTTTTAATAATTTTTTAAAAATATTGGTAAATCACTACCTAATGTGAAATAGAACATACATTTAACTAAAATCTAATGTTTTTGACATTGCATCTGTCAAAGTCATCTCAAAATGCATAAAATGAATTGCTAGGCCAGCCATTTTGTTGACAATGACAGATATACTTTATGTCAAGCTCATAAATAAATAAATATGTAGGTCATGCTGTTGTTTCCGAGTTTATGTGAATGTGCTCCCTAACATTTTTATCCTTCTCTACATGTTTTTCGATTACTTCGCTACCCCTCTAAATCCTTATTTACAAATGGTTGTAGCTATAAATTATGTTTATAATTTAAAGTACTTATAAAAATTAATATGTGTAAGAGCGAGCAAAGCGAGCTCAGGACTTAACGCACCCTGACTCCGACAGGTTAGGTTAGAAGTGAGCGAGCAAACTGGGCTTCTCTCGACTATGCTAAGTTGAATGGTATGGTCCAGGTATAATCCACTGCTTCCCTCCTCACCACTTCCCACCCCCTAATTCAGGCGACTTAATTTCAAACTTTACCCCTAACCTACCTTGTAAGATATTGTATAGCTCTGCTAAATATACTGTTATTTTAATTTTATATGAATGTCTCTAAGAATCATCTTTACATCCCTTCACAAGTCTGCTGCCGAAAATAGACCTCAGGTAAGGTTTGCAATTAAATCGCCTGAATAAGCCAAAAATCGCATGGGGGTGCTTCAGATGGACCCCTTTGACCCTCCCACAGTGACAGAATCCTCAAATTTAGGTGACTTAATTTCAAACCCAATCCTAGGTTAGGCCTTAAAAGGTGAATATGTAAAAAGCGTACAATAAATACCTTTTAGATCGATGTCGGTCTCTATCTCTCTCACGATCTCTGTCGCGATCACGATTACGGTCTCGATCACGATCCTTGTCACGCTCGCGGTCACGATCGCGATCTCGGTCTCGTGTCTTGCTCTTGTCTCGATCTTTATGCCGATCACGATCCCGAGACCGGGAACGACTTCGGTCGCGATGTCTGGAACTCATTTTGCTAATAGTGTACACTAATTATTACATGAATTATAGGACTTTTACTTTTTAATACAATACTGAATCACGTATTGAACGCTGCACTATAAGATCCGTATGATTTTACAATATACTTAATAATAATGCTAATAATTCCAATTTATTTTCGATAAAAACACAAAATATGACACGCTTACTTTACATACAAAATGGAGAATAAACCATAGATTAGAGAACTGAGAACCATAGATAAATAAATAAATATATGTCTACGGCGTAGACAGAGAATAGGTTTCTCTGTCTACGGCAGTCTACGGTCTACGGGCTAGCTAGATTATACTATAGACAGAATATACTGGCGTAAATCGTAACACTACTAGCAAAAATATGACACGCATAAAATACGGCCGACGTATCTTGGCGAGTCCAAACTTTGGGCAGAGGCTCCGCTCCGCTCCGCAATAACTATTTTATTAGGAATAAAATTGTGGCACGATGCCACCTTGGACCACCAATGGGGGGCGGTGGTCTAGGCTAGAGATCAGAGTATGCGTATTATCCTCTTAGTATGTGCTAGAGATTGACTATTACATATAGTCAATCCCTAGCACATCCTACTAAGAGGATAATATATACATATACTATACACAATCGAACTTTTATTCAATCAAATATCGCAATCGATTAGTTTTATTTAGACGTTATTGATTTTTGTTTATATAAGATATTAAAGGAAATAGATTTACAAATATAGTGAATTATGTCGTTAATTAACGAGAATTCAACTTTATTAAAAAAACTAATCAAATTTTATTTTCTCAGTTGAAAGACATAATTTACTTAAATATTGGTTATCTATTTACGTCTACTTGCGTAACGACTATAGGTGTACAGCAACCGTTGAAAAGGGATATTAATCCAAAGCAGCCGATACGCAATAGTACTGGGCGTTTTATTCGGAAACACTTTTAAAAAACAGTTTGTCAAAGAAAAACGAACGAACAGTTTCTCGAAGATCCAACATTAGGTTTAAAAACGAACGAAATGAATACAGTTCTACATTTCATTCTCGGAACTGTCTCAATCGCAAAACGTTTACAAACTACATGCTCGTTTGGTAGGTTCATAGGTTGGATCTAAGTTAATACTCTATTACTATTGCTTTATGAACTATTGTCGTATAAACAGAAAACAGTTATAGTAACTAATTTTGATTACTACGTTACGATTAAAGCTAAAATAAATCTTATTTATATCTATACAAATTTGGTGGTAGACGATTGAACAAATAACGAACGGACCGAGAAAAAACGGTATTTTCGGCTTTCTCTTATTTTTTTATGGAAAGGTCAGCTTGGTCAAACGTACGTTTGTTTTAAAATTTAAATCAGTTTCAGTTGTCGTCAAGTAACGCTTGTCTACGCTTACTGTGTTAGCTAATTTCGAATTTGCAAAAAAGTGACTGTATGTTTACGCGCGAAAAGTGTTTTATGTGATATATTGTATATATTAATTGTTTAATAGTTTTGTAATATACCGATAAAACCGATTTAATTTATAAATATCTTTTGTTCTAATATTGTATATAGTGCAAATAATGAAAACGTGTATATAAAATGAACTTTTAAATACGCTTGTAACATTTATCAGCCAGTCCTAAGCCTGGAAAAAGTATAAAGGGAAGTTCGCTTTATTATTTTGTAAACAAACATATGGTAAAAACTGGAATGGAAAAAACTGTTTTTTTTTTTTAAATTGTTTCTCAGAACTGTTTTTCATTTCAAAAAAAACGGTTTCGTTTCGTTTTACAAAAAACCTGGAACGACCCAGTACTAATACGCAACTGTTGTCAACCGGTTGTTTATTCGACTACAGACGAAAAAGGATGGTTATGTTTTTACTGTGTGTGCGGGTGGCTAAGCTAAAACGCTTTTGACAATGGTGGTTAAAAACCACTTGACAGATTTTAAAAAAAATGTTTCACCAATAGAATGCTATCATGACTGTGAAAATCATTTTATTACGCTACTCTCAACGAATATGTTTTTTAGCTAAACTCGTAAAGTACATGACCGATTTTGAAAATTCTTTCACCACTAGAATATTATATATTATTATAGATGTCTAATAATGGATATATTTTATTATGGGGGGATAAGTCGCTCGCGTCCGTAGGCTTCGACCACCTAATCCTAGGCCCACCCTACACGTTTCCCCCGGGTGGTGCTAAAAGAGCGACAAAGTCGAAAGAACAGTCTCGGCTACTCGACGTGTGGTAGCGGCGTAAAATATGCCACACCCTAGTTTTCGCACCATGAGGCAAAAAGTAAAAGAAATGGCCCCGAGTTCCCGGCGCCCCTTTAATGGGGCAGGGGTGCGAAGAATCTCCGGGAGGAAAACCGACGACGAGGTTCGCCACCCGTCACGTTCTGTCTCCCAGAGAGGCGAAAAGTGGATTGCAGAGGCCCGTCTGGCTACGTTGAATGTATGTGGGGCAATGAATGATAAAACGGATGAAGTATGCGATATGATGTATGATAGAGGAATAGATGTATTATGTGTAAATTAGACGAAAAGGAAGGGGAAGGATGTCACTGCACATGGCAGTCTATACCGCATACTGGTCTGGTGTAGACGAGATCGAGCGGGTATGCCAGGGAGTAGGTATCATCCTTTCAGAAAGAATGGGCCAATGTGTGAAAGAGTATGAATATGTAAGCCCAAGACTGCTATGGATACGAATGAAAGTGGGCTTAAAGAAGTTGTTTGTGTTAGGGGTCTACGCCCCAGACATGTCTAAGCCCACTTATATCCGGGAGCACTTTTGGGAAATGGTAAGGATGGTGTTAATGAAGTGTAAGGGAAATGAAAATATTATTATGCTAGGAGATTTTAATGGAAGGGTTGGGGTGAGGAGACTTGGTTATGAAAGGGTATTGGGAACGTTTGGTGATGGAAGTATAAATGAGAATGGTGAAAGTCTACTCACCGTATGTGTGGAAAGGAATATTTTTGTGACGAACACTTTCTTTTGTCATAAGAAGATTCACATGTATACTTGGGAAAGAGGTGATGATAGAAGCATGATAGATTTCATAACTGTGGGTGAAAGAATGAGGAGCGCAGTGGTGGATACAAGGGTTTACCGGGGGTCCAACGTAGGGACGGACCACTACCTGGTCTTATGCCGAATTAGGGGTTTATTCAGACGTTGGCGGCATAGGACATCTGTGTCTACCACTGCGTTACAGCGTATAAGAATTGAGAGGTTAGAAGATGAAGATGTGAAAGACAAGTACAAATGCAGACTGAGAGAAAATATAAGTAATTTGGATGAGTTGTGTGTGAATGAGTTAGACTTGGAGAATGTGTGGCATAATGTTAAGAAAGGTTTAGTGGATGCAGCTACCGAAGTATGTGGTGTTAGTAAGAGAACGAATGAAAGGAAAGACAATACGTTATGGTGGGATGATGAGGTACGTATGGAAGTTGAAGCAAAGATGAGAGCATGGCTAGATTTACTAGTGACCAAAGCTGGTAATTCAGGCGGTAAGAATGATGAGAATGAAAGAAAAAAGGCAGAGTTTAAACGTTTAAATAAGAGAGTAAAAGAATTAGTTGAAAGGAAAAAGCAAGAAAGAACGGATAAGAATGATAGAAGAATATCGGATAACTTCCAGGCAAATATTAAAATATTCTGGAAAGTCGTAAGAAATACCAGGAGACTTTCAAAACAGCCTAGATTGAATGCGATACGAGACGAGAATGGCTGTATCCTGAATGATGAAGTGTTTAGTCAAAAGAGATGGAAGGAATATTTTGAAAGCGTATTTATGAGTGAGGAGAAGTGTGAACTAAATGAAATAGAAATTCCGAAAGAAGATGAAAGAGATAGGGAGATAAGTATAGATGAAATAATGAAAGCAATGAAAAGCATGAAAGTAGGTAAGGCAGCCGGATATGATAGAGTTTCACTCGAAATGCTAAGGGCTGGAGAGGATGTGGTGGCAGGCCTGCTGTACACCTTGTTTAATTTATGTTGGGAACTAAAGCGGGTACCGGGAGACTGGTGCAAAGCCGTGATAGTCCCAATATATAAGGGAAAAGCGTCACAGCAGGACTGTAAAAACTACCGTGGTATCAGCCTTCTTGGCATTGTGGGAAAACTGTACGCTAAGGTACTAATTGAAAGAGTTATGAAAGAAACTAATGAAAAAATTTGGGATGTGCAAGCGGGATTTAGTAAGGGAATGGGGTGTACAGATCAAGTCTTTTCCATGCGCATGATCGCGGAGAAGTTTTTGGCGAAAAACCAAAAAGTTTTTTGTGCGTTCATGGACTTGGAAAAGGCTTATGACAGAGTGGACAGGGATGTATTATGGCAAACGCTGAACGCATTTAGGTTGAGCGCTGGTTTGATACAGGCATTAAAGTCTCTGTATAGGGACTCGAGTGCTTGTGTTAGAATCAACGGGGTCTACTCGGACTGGTTTGGCATCCATAAAGGTGTCAGACAGGGCTGTGTAGCTTCCCCGTGGCTGTTCAACCTATTTATGGACAGTTCTTTGGAAAATTTGAAAGTTGAAGAATGCGGGTTAAGAATGGGTGAGTTAACCATCAAATGCCTTTTGTACGCCGATGATCAAGTCATACTTGCGTCGTTGGCGGCCGAGTTGCAAATGATGGTTCCATTAATGAATAGGTCATTAAAAGAAAGGGGAATGAAAGTGAACGCAATACATGATGGTTTTTGAAAGAGATGAAAGCAAAACGGTATGTGAAATAAGAATAGAAGGAGAGTTAATCGAGCAAGTGGATGAGTTCGTATATTTGGGATGTGTATTCAGCAGGGATGGGAGATATGATAAGGATATTGAACGACGAGTGAATGCAGGAAATAAAGTAAATGGGGCTCTACACTCTATTGTGAAAAGTCAGAATGTGTCAAAAAAGGCCGTTCCACAGTGCTGTATTAGTCCCTACTTTAACTTATGGTAATGAAAGTTGGGTGTGGCAGA